TTGCAAGAGTGGAATGCCATTTTGGACGATATACGACGTAAATACGAAGGTCCGTCTACGAAACGTCTTGAAGAAGTGGTGGAAAAGCGGGTGAAGCGAATCAGTGGTGACCTGCTGAGGGACGCGCTGCCGTTGTAAGATCTTGTGCAATTTTATTATTTATTCTGTTATTATTTGTATATCATGCAAATCTTCAAAATAAGAGGATATGAATAAGCAGTTATTTGCCAGCGGAGTGTTAAGGCGTCTTCATGTGACGGAGACTTTAGAAATTGGTTTTTGGACGAGATTCCATCCACTGTTTGAGAGCTGGGATTGAGGTGACCTTGTTGTAGTGTTCCTCTACCTGAAATAATCTTGGTATTCGAGGACGAAATTGTCTCTTTTTGCACAAACCTCAGGGAAACCTTCGGTGTACTCAGGGAATACGGTGCGCATCGTATAGATATGCTCAGCAAGAATAAGATCAGCATAGGTCAGCTCATTACCAGCAAGGAAACCTAAATCTTCGAGTTTTTAGAGTGGGTTACGATAGTACAGCTTGAAACCATACCAGAGCTACTCTTTTTGAGGTAATTTGTCATGTAACCGAGGTAACGATCACGAGCTGGAATCAGGATATTTTTCTTAGCGGCTTCCTGAAAATTTTTTGTCAGAACCAGCTCTTGAAGAAGTCGAGAATAAGCTCCCCACCACATCTCCCTCTTTCAGCCCTAAGGCAGGATAGTAATAATCCTTTATTTCAACGTAAAAATCTTTGTACTGGTCAGCAAGCGCATCAACGATTGCTTCTTCATATGGAGTTTTTCCAGCGTAGCCTGAAGATTACAAATGTATTTATTCAAAAATTTTCAAAAAACCTACCATATTTTCGTGCCAAATATCGCGCAATAGCCAATGACTGTGGAATTTGCTGTCCATCGACTTCCAGCACTGGCATTTGCTCGAAAGGCATCACTAAAAAATAAGATTCTACTAAGTGTTAGGGCAGTATGCAGATCTGGAACGTTGAGCTTTTGAAGACCACCAGCGATTCCTAATTAAGGTGCCTCCCTAACTGTGTTTACACTATCACTTCCAAAACCAGAAAATTCAATCCCAGTATTACTTCCCACTGAAGCTTGTCCAAAAAACTGTTGCGCGTCGGAAACGCGGCAGCCAATAGTAGCCGTCATCTCATCTTAGACCTACGCCATTGGTTGGCGCCCTAGTTCGAGGTAGCTTGAGTGCAGAGTAGCAAGGTCAAAGGATCTTGAGCAAATTTATCTTCGAAAACTAAAACCTAGCTTCCATATAATAACAAAGTCTTTTATATTAGCACGCTGACAGACTCACAAGGCTTCATCTCAGGCCATTTGTCTTTATCGATACGGATATCCTCATATTGTACGCCTGCCAAAGCGAATATCTAGAAATCAGCACCCATAAAAAATTGACATTTCTTAGGTAGAAGCATTGGTCAAAGATT